ACAAGCAAACACATTGTTTAAGAGAACATTTCTTCTTACGTGTATATTATCTTTTTGTTAGTGTACCTAGAAGCTTCCACTGGTTATCTTATTAACCAGAATTGCTTCAGAGATTCATTCCTAAACCAACTTATAAATGGGATTGCCATGCTTACCCTTAGTGAAGCTAGCAATATTTGCGACAGTGTTAAACCTCAGTGGAAAATATTACCAACTTTGTTTCTAACACTTCTGCCAGGCTACTTTCTTTAGAAAAATTAAGTAGTAAGTCTGGGAACTATTTGGAACCATAACCTTCTTTATATCACCTTTGCTTCATAAAAATATACATTTTTACTTACATTTCTGAAAAGGACATTTGTAAGCTAGGCTTTAAAAGTAGACTAGGAAATGTATAATTTCTCTTTCTTCCTCTGATTGCATTTGTTGGACCCATACCTTTGTACTTCCTTGGAATGAAGATTTATTGAGTAATCAAATAATATTTGCAAAAGTATAGACTTCAACAGTAATTTTAAAACAGAATTATCATTAATTTTTTTGCATCAAAGCTATCCAAACAACAAATGTTAACTTTTTTCTAGATCTAGAACTTATATATCTCCTGGCAAATAGTCTTTTTATTGTGCTCCAGTTTTTCATGATCCTCCTTTCTTCATTTCCTCATCTCACAGATGCCTGAGAGCTAAATGTAGTAATTATTTATGTTAACTCTAATGAGTTTGAATAAGCTTTAGTTTTAAAACAAAATTCTGATTTTACCACTTTTTTCTCAAGGTTACTGTACTTCACATTCTTCCAATTTTCCAATCCATGTTAAGTTTTAGAGTCCATCATTGTATATAGTACTTTTTTGGAATTTAAACCCAAGGTGAAGAACCAGAATTATTCTTATACCAGCTTCCTAGAATTATTTTATGAACCAACAGGAAAATTCTCTGGTAAGCTTTTCTTAGTAAAGTAGTTGAACTACTTATTGTTCTGGTTATGGATGTAAGAAATTACCAAGTAGGTTATTCTCTAGGATTAAAAAGTGTGTGCATTTGTGTGTGTGGTTTTGCTTCTCAGCTAGTTTAAAGTATTTCATCTGAATCTATTTGGTTGTTTTTGTTTTGTCTTTTTGGTGGCTGGCTGGTACAGGGATCCAAACCTTTGACCTTAATGTTATAACACCACACTCACCAACTGAGCTAACTTGCCAGCCCAATTTGGTTTTTAAATTGATTTTTAGATTAATGTTTACTTCTTTAGAAGAGTTGCTTTGAATGTCCTTAAAAATATCTACTTGAAAAATAGTATTGTAGTCATTACTAAATAAAGCCTCAATTTTGTTTGTTTGGTTTTTTTTTTTTTTTTTTTTGTCCTTTTTGAGACCGGCCCCACTGCACTCAGCCAGTGAACGCTGTGAGGGCACCGGTCATCCTTATATAGGATCCGAACCCGCGGTGGGAGTGCTGCTGCGCTCCCAGCGCTGCACTCTCCCGAGTGCGCCAGGGGCTCAGCCCAAAGCCTCAATTTTGTATTGTCTTATATATGTATTTTTAGTGACCATTACTACATAAATATAATTAATAATATCAGTAAAGATGGTAGAATATGCAGACCATCTGTCATTTAGATATATTTACCTTGAAAATTGTCTTTTGGTTCTCATATTTTGGTTATAAATGCTATGACATGTTTGTGTTACATGAAAAAGAGTTCCGAGGTCAGATAATTTTGCCACATGCTGAATTGTTCAAGAGTAAATGGGTTCATGTACTGCAGGACTTCTCAGAACCTTTAACATGCTAATGTTCATTATAAATATTTCCAAATAGGATATAAAACAGTGTTTGCAAAACTTATTTAAACACGGAACACTCATTTTCAGACTATTGTTCCATAGGACACACTTTGGGAAATGTTTGTATTTGTGTGAATTGTTGTAAAGGCAGTAGTCTGTCTAACCTTTATTTATGAGTGCCATCCAAAAGTATTAATTTTAACACTTGGACAATTGGGACAATCAGTTTCAAATGCATTACAGGTCTTTTTAAGACGACAAGAGCTTCAAGATTTCAGATGTAACTTCTCTACTAGTACTTCTACAGCTTTTCTCTAACTGAAATTTACCGACTTGCTTAGTGTTAAAACATGTCTTAAACAGAGTGGTCGTGAGATTTCCTGGCGATTCCCCAAATTTTTCACTCCAGCCTGGTTTTCTCTGCTGTGCTCCAAACTTGTGTTTTTAAGTTCTTGACCCGGCAGTTCTACATGCAGATTCTGTAGGCATCTGAACTCAGTCAAAACTAAGCTCATCCTCTCCCCTTCAATTCCTACAATTTTAGACTTTACTTTCTATTTCCCATCCTGGCTAGTAGCACCATCGTCTTTTTAGTCATGACCCAAACTAGAAATCTAGGAGAGTCAGATTCCCCCTTCATCTCCTACATAATGATTTCTCAACCTTGGCACTACTGACAACTAGGGCTGGATAATTCTTACTTGTGGGGAGCTGTTCTGTGCATTGTAGATGTTTAACAACATTCCTGGTGGGCTGCTACCCACTAGGGGCCGGTAGCAATCTCCCTCAGTTGTGACAACCAAAAATGTCTTTTGACATTGTGAAATGTCCTCTGGGGAACAAACCACTGCCCTACATCCAATCTGTTACTTACACTTAATGATATTACTTCCTAAACTTACCTTTAATCCCTTTTCATCCTTCACCCTAATGTCCCATCCTTTTTATTCTTCAATACTTGAGATTCTTTAGTAAGGTTCTGACTAGCCTTCCTGTGTCTGATGTTGTTTCCCTCCTGTCTGCCTCCTTCAGTGCTGCCAAATTTATCTTTCTAAAATGCAAAGCTCACAAGGTTGGCTGGTTAGCTCAGTTGATCAGAGCATTGTGCTGATAACACCAGGGTCCAAGTTTTGATCCCTGAACTGGCCAGCTGCCACAAAACAAAACGAAAAAGTAAAATGCAAAGCTGTTTCCTGTTACAATCTCTCAGTAGCTCCCACTCGGGACCCTCATGAACTGGCTTCTCTCTTTCTTCATTCTAGCCTCATTTTCCAAAGGCACTTGTACTTACAAAGGTTCTTGCTGCACACAACAGTGTACTATACTGTGCCCTCTTCCCACTGTTCCGTAACTTGTTTCAAACTCTACTTAGGTATCAACTTTTCCATTATAGCCTTCAGTCACTTATTTTTAGTGAATCTATCATAGTGAAGAGCATTTTATTTTTAACATATCCATTTTCCTTTGCCAAGTTGAACTTTTCAAGGGCAGGAACCATCTTATCCCAGTTCTTGGCATGTAACAGATATTCAATAAAAGTTTGAATCATTTATTAGTATGCCCTGTTAAATGTAGTAACGTCCTCTGTATTTCTAGGAATTTTGTTCCCTGTATCAGTAGTGAAAAATATTTCCCTTAGTCTTTATCGTCCAGACTTTGACAGGTAGACTTTTTACCGTAGAAATTTTGAACTATGACTTTAAGAAACCAGCCATTCGGAAGAGAATTGAAGAAAGCGGTGTACTTAGTTGATATTCAAATGTCATTTTTTATAAGGTAGCTAGTTTACTCTAAAGATTTTTATTCTGAAAAGAATTAAATTGTGTGGATTAATTATGTGAATTAATACGATGTGGGAAGTCCTTACTGGACTCAACTTGTTTCCATTGAGTAAGGATTTGTTGATTTGGTCATATAAAGCTTGCAAAAGCAATAAATATTATCTTAATAACTAATTTTATTTTTTAGAAAATATGTTTAGTAGAACACATTCCCATAATCACCAGTCTGCACTATTTAGAAATTTACCCCCCATCAAATGAAAACAAAAACAATAATCAAGGCAGTAAAGAATAGTGCCCTACCTCCCTTCCTTATATGCCTTAAGAGAGTTGAGTGTGATTAGATTTCCCTGTGGACCGGAACTAGTCACAGCCAGTCTGACCAACTACAGTTTTACCTAGAACTTTAATTAAAAGATGAGAAATTAAAAATAGGGTTTCAGAGCTTTTGGAAGATAACCCAAACTGTAGCACCAGCCTCGCTGAAAGTCAAGAATGGGGAAAGAGGAAAGAGGAAAGAAATAAGACCTATTCACAATTCAGAATTCTTCCTCCTGGCACAATGACTTGCTGGATTGTTAGTAATTATTTGTTAAATGAATCCGTATGTAATGGCAGTTAAGCAAGAAGTGATTTTCTGCTTCATTTTTAAGGGAGTGGCACAAAATGTATCACTTCCTTTCCAAAGAAATTCTTTCATAAGAAAAGTTGTATTGAAAGTTTGCAGAAATAAAACTGGGAAAGAGCCAGGTTACCTACAGGGAAGGTACCTTCCTTTCACACCAATTATCTAAAGACACCTTATTTAATATATATCATTAATGCATTAACATTGAACTCACGGCCGGCAGCACTATAACTCATGCCTAAATGAAGCTGATGTAACACTTTTTCTCTGTAAGACACACCATAACCTTCTTGCACCTAGGAACACACAGCACCTAGGAACACTTTTAGCCCTATGCATAGCTGCCATTTTAAATAGTGAAAGCACCAGCAAAAACCACAAAAATGCAAAAAACATGGCACTAAATAGACTGCAAAAAAACATTTGTTTATATTGTATGAGAGCTGAAACAAGAAGGCAGTGTCACCCTGTTCAACATCAGATGGAAACGTGCATGTCAGTTGACTCATGTTTTTCCATAGCTCTGTTCATGTCTGCAAATTGATTTGGGGTTACAAATAAATTTTAGTGAGTAGGTGAATTCACATATACAGAATCTGAGAATAATGAGGATCAACTATAATTGTTTTAAAGAAATTTTTAATTGAATGCCTAGAATATTTCAAATTTGAAAGAAAGTTCTCTTATTTTTGGGTATGTGTGAGTTAATTGTTAAGCAGAGTCATTCTTACAGTTCTCATATTCTCTTGTCCAAAGGAATAAAACTGGCTGCTTTCAGTCCATCATTTTCTTTTCTGCCCTGCAGAGAACAACCTATCTTCAGCACTCGAGCTCATGTCTTCCAGATTGACCCAAACACAAAGAAGAACTGGGTACCCACCAGCAAGCATGCAGTTACTGTGTCTTATTTCTATGACAGCACAAGAAATGTGTATAGGATAATCAGTTTAGATGGCTCAAAGGTGAGTTACATCTACTTTGAATAATCTTGCTGTTTTGCTTTATATAGTATAGCATTTCAGTTTTATTCAGAGCGTTGTATCTTCATTAAAATAAAATATTTCCTTTTGAGTTTTTAAAACTTAACTTTTAAGAAGCAAAACTGGTCCTTCTTTGGGTTGCAGCAATTTTTATCCACTAAATTACTTGGATTGACTACTTTATTATTTTGAGTGACATGCTAAAATTTTCCACAAATCTGAGGTCATTCGGTTTACTTAATAAATTTTCATTGCATATCTATTATGTGTCAGGCATTTGACTTTTCTCAGCCTCATTGTTCTCATTTCAGTACTGGTAGTTGTAAGGGTTAAATGAGTTAATACCTGCAAAGCACTTACATCAGTGCCTGGTGGATAACATACCCTTTAGAAGGGTGTGTGTTTGGATCCATTTTATCCTCAATAAATTTTGTATAACTCACTTAGACAAGGAAATTCCAAACATCAGATTCTGGTTATAAAGTATATAGAAAGATGAAGTCTCTATTCTTCTCCTTCAAACTTTCTTGAAGCCAGGAGGCCTTTTGACTCCCAGAAATTTTAGCAATTCAGTGTAGGGGTTAAGAGCACAGACTCTAGAGCCATACTGTTGTGTTTAAATTTTTGCTCCACAACTTGATAGCCATGTGACCTTGAGCAAGACATTTAACTTCTGTGTGCCTCAGTTTTCTCATCTGTAAAAAGGAACTAATAAAAAATCTATATCATTACACTGTAGGATTGTTATAAAGAGAAAATTAATTTAGGCAAAGAACAGTGTGTATAGTAATTACTATACAAATACTTGCTACTATTGTTAGTGTTATTAATATTATTATTAGGTTATTAATTATGTATTGCCTAGTGGTTTGGGGGAATAAAAGATATTTTAATGCTAAACTTTCCATCTGTTTTTTTCTGTGTGCTCTTTCCTTATCTCCTTAACTAGTTGTAGGACCTCAGGGTCTATTTGCTCTTTGTGTCTTATTTGTAAGTGACTAACAGGTATTTACTTGAGTAATCAATCCTTTTTCAGTTTCTCTTAGAGGATTTAAAGGATTTGAGAAATAATAATAGTTTCTGTGAAGATTTTTTTAGTAAAGAATAATTTTGTCATATTTTATAACTGTTTGGTTTAGTGAAGTTTGACAGATTAAATATTATAACCTCAGACTCTGGAGTATTAATTATTTCTTTTCCCTGATGTGAACTTTTAATTCTCTGTAATCTGTTTCTTGGCCCAAACTACAGACAAAATGTAGTTTTATTAGATAAGAGTATTAAATGGTATATAAAAGTAAAGGTCAACTGAAGTAGTCCCATGTCCAAGAAAAGAAACTATCTGGATATGATTAAATAGATTTCAGTTGCTAACTTCACCAGATTAAAATACTTTGAGTTATTAAATAATCCTCATGTGTGCTTCCCTCTGAAGCAATATGAGTTATTGCTTCTGGCATTTTCATTTCTGAATATACTTTTCTGCTTGTAATTATTAGAATCTTAGATAACTTTTCTGAAAAAGTTTTTGTGGGCTTTTTTTTTTAACAAAATCTATCTTCTATAGCAGAGTTATATTTTCTATCACATTTTCCATTTTGTAATTCCTTTTTTAAACTGATGCTATTAACTACTGCAGTTTAACTCAGCTAAACAAGTGTTTTTCTCCTTCCCAACCCTACCTCGGAAAGCCATTAGGTGTCCCTGAGTAGACATTTGTTTGTTCACTTACTGCCTGAACTGTGCATGTAAAGTTGGCTTCAGAGTTTTCTGATCATGCTGCAGAAACTTCAGCATGGCTGAGAACCAGGATCAGGGCATTACGTGATCTGTAATGACTCAGCATTTCTATGTCTTTTCCTTAAAAGGACAAGAACTCTGGCATTGAGAGACATTTATTTTCAAGAGCTAAAATTTTTATTTTAGATAGATTCATAGTAATGTTCTATTCAAAGAATCTATGAAATAATTTTTTTAAGTGTGGGTCATCTATCACTTTAATGTTTTTCTTCAGTGATTAAAGAGCAAGTAATACAGAGGCAAGGAAAGACTCAGAATGGAGATTAAAATGGAATTCTTAAACTTAGAAGCAGAAAGAAGTTAATTTGAATAGCTGAAATGGGGGATTAGTGACCAAGACCACATTGGTTAGTTTTTTTAGATGCCTATAAAACCTGTTGCTACCCCACTTTTTGAGAGTTATTAGGGTCACATGAAAATACACTTGATCATAGGAAAACTAACTTTGAGTGTAAGATATTGAAATTTTTGATAGGCATAGTGCCATTATATTTATAATTCTATTAGGTACCATATTTCTACACTGTCACAGCTAGAAACTGTTTCTATAACTATATTTATATATTTAACATTGTGGCTTATTAGTAATCCTAAATTTTTATGTAGCTAAATGGCCCTGTGTTTAAATGCCTGTCTACTAGTTTTTGACTGGTTACTTATGCTTGTTTTATTTTTCAGGCAATAATAAATAGCACCATCACCCCAAACATGACATTTACTAAAACATCTCAGAAGTTTGGCCAGTGGGCGGATAGCCGGGCAAACACTGTTTATGGACTGGGATTCTCCTCTGAGCATCATCTTTCGAAAGTAAGTTAAATCATAAGATCTGAGGAAAAATCTTCATCTTCAAGTCATATGTCTTAAATATATAATAGCAAGTAGAGAGTAAAAAATATAAGAGAAATTTGTTTAATATTCTCAGAACTATAGTGACTGAAGAGCAAAAAGCAAGAGATCATTGGATTCCACTGTCACTTCAAAAATTTATTGTACACATTTAAAAGTCACCATTGGTTGAGAAAGATTTATTTGGTAACTGTATGATAGGAAATGAAAGGTGGGGATTATCACTTCAGAATGGATTTCGGTCAGATTACCACCTTCAGTTCGAGATGGTCTGCAAGATAGGCAGACACCAAGCTCTTCTGAATTACAAAAACTCAAGCCGATAGTGATAAAGATTTCAGCAGATTTCAGCTTTTTGACGTGACAGCAGGCACATATAAATTACTGTGTTTAGGGTAAATTGTGCTTTAGCTGGATGTGGAATACTCTGAGCTCTTTGATGCAGTGCAGAGTGATTTCCAATACACATCATGAGGAATTCTTGGATAATCCTGACTCAGTGAATTAGTATGACCAGAAAGGCCAATGAAATGCAGAGCATCACCAGGCTAAATATTGTAAATAAAATAGTTGCCCTACCTATAAGCAAAAGCCATGATGGTGAGGGCCGGCCCGGTGGCGCACTGCTACAGTGCGCCGCTTGGGAGCGTGGCGGCGCTCCCGCCCAGGGTTCGGATCCCACATACAGACCGGTTCCCGCTCACTGGCTGAGCGAGGTGCGGGCGCGGCACTTGGGGTTGCGATCTCGTTGCTGGTCCCGGTCCGGTACGGGCGTGACACTGAGGGTTGCGATCCGTTGCCGGACACGAAAAAAGACAAAAAAAAAAAAAAAAAAAAAAAAAACCATGAGGGGG